CCTGTTGTTCCTTTTATCTCTTGACTCCCTGCTTTAGCCTTCCAATCCCCTCTAATGAGAAGAACATCTTTCTTTGGTGTCAGTTTTAGAAGGTATTGTAAGTCTTCATAGAATTGGTCAATTTCAGCTTCTTCAGCATTGGTGGTTGGTGCATAAGCTTGGATTACTGTGATGTTGAAAGGTCTGCCTTGGATTTGTATTGAAATCATTCTATCATTTTTGAGATTTTATCCCAGTACAGCTTTTCCCACTCTTTTGTTGACTATGAGGGCTACTCCATTTCTTCTACGGGATTCTTGCCCACAATAGTGGATATGATAATCGTCTGAATTGAATTTGCCCATTCCTGTCCATTTGAGTTCACTGATGCCCAGGATGTCAATGTTTATTCTTGCCATCTCCTGTTTGACCACGTCCAACTTACCAAGGTTCATAGATCTTACATTCCAGGTTCCTATGCAGTATTTTTCTTTGCAGCATCGGACTTTCCTTTCACTTCCAGGCGGGTCCGCTCTTTGACCTTCAAGCCCTTCATAATGTGCCATCTATGTAGTACAGTGGTCGGGGAACAGGGGTAAATTACCCCATTTGGGGTAAAAATGAAAATCCTGGGGGTTATCACGATGGTGGCGGCAGTGCGACCGTCCTCATTACCCCCAGGCACTTTATTTCCCACAATGTGTATGTGCAGTGCAACGTCAGGTCCTTGTGTATATGCACTTGCCTTGCTGATAGAGGCGCGTTCCGGAAGCACTGGAGGAAGCCAGGGAGCCAGTCCACGTGCTGTACCGCTGCTGCGGGTGAGCTCTGCCAAAACAAGAGGCGAAGAGAGTGGGCGAGTGTGCAACTTGGCAAGGAGGGGAGGTACCACAGCTGGGCTTCCTCACTCTCCACAGCACACTACTACTCCTGCCATGCCTCCTCTCCATTTTCTCTTCAGAGCAGGTCCTAACGAGGGACAAACACCCACAGGGGAAGGTTTCAGCTAGAGGTGACTCCTCATAGCTGTCCCTCGTTGCTCCACATCAAGCAACAGCAGCCAAAGAGCGAGCCAGCCGTTGGCACCCAAAGTCCACTCCCCCCAGCTCCTCCCATGCTCGTCGCTGCAGGCCATGTCTCAGTCAGGCTGCGCTTCCCCTTCGCCCTCATCTTAAAGCGCACGGGCTGGTGGGGAGGTGGGGTTGGGGATGGCGAGGGTGCACGCCACGCAGCTCTACATGCCCAGCCTACCCAAATCCCCAAATGGCAGCCCCAAGAAGAATTTGGAAAGGGGAAGCAGCAGCAGGTGTAGGGGGCCAGCCCAGTTTTCCTGCCTCTTCCTCCTCCTTCGCAAGCCTGGAGGTGAGGTGGTAGTCAGGGAAAAGCCGGAATGGCTGAGAAGATGTAAAAAGGTGGAGGAGGTGGATGGGGAAGGGAAGCCCTGGCTGTTTCCGCATGACCTCCTCAAACCACCCCAGGGTCGCCGAGGAAGGCGAGCCATGTCCCCTGCCACTCTGCTTTCCCAGCCCTTTTCTTTTTTGCCATCCCCAAGGCCCCTGAGGAAGTCATTCGGGAGTCTGGGATGAGAGGAGAAAGGAGGCTTCAATGGGCTTCAGTCCTTGTTTCTTGCAAAAGAGAGAAAGCGAGCTAAAGTAGGTGGAATTCTCCCGCCATTTCCCCAGACAATTGCTGTGTTTCCCATCCCTCTCTCTCCCTCCTCATCTCACATGGCTGCCCTCAACAGTCCAGTAAAGCCACCTCATGATTTAGCTTCAACCACAGCATCAAGAGTGAGAGTGGCTGCCTCGGCTTTCTCTCTTCAGTATCCAGCTGGTTGAAGCTATCAAAGTAATTTTGAAAAGATTCAATAAGATTTTGAATTCAAATAATGTATGATTTCCTTCTTTTCAAAGCAAGGGGGTAATGTTGGCATATATTATTTAAAGGGGGTAATGTTGGCATATATAAAAAAATGTTTTGGGGGGGGGAAGATAAAAAAGTTCCCTGACCCCGACTTAGTAAGACCTTTTTCAGAGGTCTTTTTTGTCTAGTGTTCCTGATTTTGACGGTGGGCAGATACTATAGAAGAAGCCTTCTCAGTATTGGCACATGTTTATGGAATCCTTTCTCCAAGGAGATATTCTTTTGGCAACAGGTGAAACTACTTTTATTTCCCCAAGCCTTTTAATCGAAACTGCTGCAAAGTTCGTACAGTGGTCTTTTTAGACTTTGGTTCTGCTGTTTTTATGATATAGTGTGTGCCTGTTTCTTAAATGCTTTTATTGTAGTTTTGATTTAGTATTGTAATTTTTCCCTGAAAAGATGGGGTATAAATTTTTATAAGTAAGAGATAAAGCTCTTAACAGTAAAGTTCTTATTTTGAATCTCACTTCTATTAACCTATTAGATATTTTTAGTTTTGCCCCTGTCTGCCTCATGGAGATGATAATCATAGCTTGAGATGGGGGTATTCGTATACGAATATCCCCGCACAGGTGGCGATAACGAGGGTCCAGCCCCATGGGGCCAGACGGTCCACTCACCGATCTGCCGTGGACATGGATGGTGCAATTCTATCAATGGCTCTGCAGATTGCGATCTGTGAGCCACTCTTCAACCTTGCAGCGAGGCTTGTCCTCCTGCCTCCTGCCAGGAGTGGCTAACTGATCACAATCTGCAAAGCCATTGGAAGAATCACGGCGCCCGCAGCAGTGGCAGATCAGTGAGTTGACTGTCTGGCCCCATAGGGCTGGATCCTCGTTATCGTCACCTGTGAGGGAATATTCGTATACCCCCCATCTCTAATCCTAACCTATCTCATTATAAGGTTATGATAAGGATTACAGAGAGATACACTGTATTTGCATTAGATGAATTTGAGTTATACAGTGGTGCCTCGCATAGTGAGGTTAATCCGTTCCGGATTAACCTTCGCTATAGCGAAACATCGCTGTGCGGGAATAAAAAAGCCATAGAAACGCATTGAACTTTGTTCAATGCGTTCCTATGGCTTGAAAACTCACCGCTGTGCGAGGCTCGTCCATAGCGCCGCCATTTTCGCGCCCTCGGTAAGCGAGGGCAGGGCGCGAAAATGCGCGCCATAGGGGCCATCGCTGAGCGAATGCTCCAGCGATGGCCCAGAGCGCCTCGTTGAGCGATTTCATCACTCAGCGAGGCGCTCGTTAAGCGAGGCACCACTGTATTAGATTTAAATCATGCTTTAAGTCATTACTCAAAGAGTTGGTTTATCATTTGATTCCCCCCCCGTAAAGTGCAGCCTTGCTTGTCATTATCTTAATATATATTTTTCCAATGCATGTTTTACACAATATCTTAGCCCATATTGTTTGCACCTCCAATAATTCTCTGTTCTTTAACATCTCCAGTGTTTGAAAGTGTACACTTTCAGGGAGACAGGTGAGGCTTGATTTTGTCTACACAAAGTTACAAAGAGACAACAGCTAGGGTTGCCACTCTAAAGAAACAGGCATTTCTTAGGAAAGCATTTAAGCACAATCTTTAAGATTTTAATAGGGCTTCCAATAATTTCTAATATTGTACCATGTTGAGAGGATAAAATAAAGTTCGCCGGGTAAGGTAATATGGAGGATAGGCTGTTACCCAAGCAGCAGATCCCCCCTCTCCACATTGCTGAAATGGTCCAATAAAGTTCATGGAATTACTTCAGTCAGAGATGGAAGCTAAGGTTGATCAGGTCGGTTGTTTCACATTCCTATATTCTGTTGGACCCTATCTACAGAGCTAACAATACTAATCCATTTAATAACAACAACATGTGCCAACAAGTCAATTCTGACGTATGACAATGCTTTTCAGTGTTTTCTATGAAGAGAATACCTAGAAGTGGTTCTTGTGGGGCCATCCTGGTAACATGCAGTTTGCCCAGGGTCACATAGGCTGGCTTTTCTGGGAGGCCAAGTGGGGAACTGACCTCCTAACATTTGTCTCTAGACAATGTACCCTCTAAATTTCAGCCCTGCTGGGCGGGTCTCTGCCTCTTTCTTTTGTGACTCCACCCCTGTGTGTGCATGTGACTCCACCTTCACTGATCGATATTCACTCTGGATCTTCAACAAAACATTGCAGCATTCAAGGCTCCTGTTTAGTTCTCCAGCCATTCATTGTATTCATTATAGAATATTCAATTTCCTCATTCCCTAATTTGCAACAGCACCAGCCCCTGCAAACATATTTTACTGATGCTGAGCAGGCACAGTCCTCATTGGGTTGTTTTTTGAGGGACCAATACTCCTTATTTTTTTCTCCTATCCGTGCATGTGTGTATTCACAAATCTTAGAGCCTGCACAAGAATGCTGCAACCTCTTATAATTCAGTTCTTGGTTTGGCTACGCTTTTGTTCACGTCCACCAGCTGACCTCACCAGCCATTAGAGAGACAGGTCGTGCCAACTGAAATACTCTGAATATTTAAAATCGGTACATAAATGTTGAACATTTCTGTTACATTTACTAGCAATGTAAGAGAATGGGTTGAATTAACAAATACACACAGTCTTCTAGGTAAATGCTGTAGTTGTGTGATATCAGAGGCCACAAAGCAAATGGAATACAGGTAAAAAGCTATGGAGGACTCAGGTCTTTAGAGGAGAGAGGGATCAAGGGGAGAAAACAACCTGTGTAAGTGGAAGTTGATGACCAGGACAATTGGAAGCAACAGTGAATCAACTTCCACATTTCCATGTACCTGTACTTAACTGTGGCTCTGTAGGTCCAAGTGTAGGTGGAGGTATAGAAAAGAGTCTCCATGAACTATGGTGGGAGCTGCCTAGTCTAATCTTCAGAAGGCACTGTGTTGTTTGGTGTAAGCAAACAGTTGTTTAGTGTCAGTTAAAATTACTGCATTGGAATGGGGAGGAACAGGAACAAACTAAGGTAAACTTTTTGTATAGATAATAATGCTTTCTCTATTTCACTTAAACAGACTTCGCTTCATTATCTGAGAAAGGTTTTGACACTGTCATCTTTAATCTTTAATCTAGAGCACTCCGACCTCACGAATGAAAGGCTTGTCTTTGTTGCCTCTTGGAGCAGCCAATTCCAACTCTCCCAGTTCTCAGAAAACCCTAAATCAGAGTGGGCCACCAGTTGTCACTATTACACATCATAAATCACCTGCAGCAGCCCGAAAATCCAAGAACCAGTATCCTGGCCAGCTTCATGAAGTCAGAGAGGTAGGAGATGTCTGAAGTTTTCCTACTGGTACACACATGATATAGCTGTTATTGTTGGTTTTATCCAGTTGTTAAGAATATAGAAATAGTACATGAATAAATTCTTCTAGTATAAGAGATTGAGTAATTTTACCTTAGAATGACACATTTATCTAAAATTTATATGTCAATGGTATAAATTGATAGCTGATCTCCTGAAAACGAATTAGTTGTTCCTCTAAAGGATGTTAGCTGAATTTTGTCTTAAAGGACTTTAATTATTAATTATTTTACTCCTTAATATAAGTAGAACAGCCTTATCTTTTCACTCAGCTTCTTGAAATAAAAGCCATGCAGAACTAAGTACTGTATGTGGGATTACTCTTTCAGGCTTCATTTGAAAGCTGCTCTTTGTGGTAAAATGCTTGCCATGACTCCAGTAATATATTTTAGGTGGTCACTAACCATGAAAGGGGTGGAAATGTCTCCTGCTTGAACTGAAGGGCAATGAAAATACTGTGTTAGGGAGAAAGCTGGTCAGAGAATATTTATAAACTTGATCAATTGGAGTTCAAGTTATTTTGGTTGGTCAAAGTTTGTGGGCAAAAAGCCCTTCCATAATGTATTTGCTATGATCAAGTTCAGTCCTTAGCAGCCAGAAGGTAGATATTTTAACAGATTCAAAAATGAATAGGCAAGGGGTAAAAAGGAGATGAAGGAGGGTGCCAGCATCCTGCTTCAACCTGGAGGACCTCTAGAAGATGAAGGAATTATTTAATGGGATGGTACTAGAGATTGGTATTGTTCTCTGTGTGCCTTGCTTCTAAGTCCATCGTGATGGTTTGTGTTGCAGTCAAAACTGATGAGTATGAGCAGTTAGGGCAGTACTGTGAGTGTGCATGGAGGGAGGAGAAGGGGATTGTACAGCCTTAACCACATCCCAATTCAATTTGAAGAAGAGGAGTTTTCATCCCATTTGAAGTCAAGCAAAAGGTTTTAAAAAGTCGTACATGTAACTGGGATTTGGTACTTCAGATTTCTATTACAGTTTTGTCTTGACCCATTGAGACCTGTGAAGTAAAGATTTCAGTCTTGGTGTTGAAACATACACATGTTGTGTAGGGTTATGATCACTTACGTAACCACTTTTACTATTGTTGCTATGGGGTCTCCTCTGACATGTTTAATTCCTTTGAATAAAATATATCCAGTTATGTTAGGTGGTTTGCTGTTAACATTCTCACATGCATATCTGAATTTTAATTCATGGAATGGTGTCTGATTCGCATATGCCAGAATCAGCTTTATACCCAAATATGTTTTTACTAGGCAATTGGGTTATTGCATAGCATTTCTTGCACCTTAAGTCCACAGAAAAATGATATTATTACTGCCTTTGAGTATCTTATGCCAGCTTTCCCCAGTGTGAAAACTTCTGGACTTCTCCAAGTCCCATGTAGCAGTTCCATATGTCAGGAATGCTGAGTTTTGTACCGTATTTCCCCCCCAAATAAGACAGAGTCTCATATTAATTTTTGCTCCAAAATAGTATTAGGACTCATTTTCAGGGGATGTTTTATTTTTTTAATGTACAACAATCTACATTTATTCAAATACAGTCATGTCATCTTCTTCTGGTTGCTGCACGATGATAGAGGACAGGTTTTCACTTAACTAGGGCTTATTTTTGGGGTAGGGTTTATATTACGAGCATCCTGAAAAATCATACTAGGGCTTATTTTCAGGTTAGGTCTTGTTTTCAGGGAAACAGGATAGTCTAAAACATATGGAAGTCATTGTGCATTAGAAAAAACTGTTTTACATTCATGTTGTAAAAAGGACAATTAGCATTTGCTGTGTATCAGCAATAATGGTTGTTATGTACACTTCATCTAGATTTTAGATTTTCATGTTCTCATTCAACATGCTTTGCTTATTACTGAAGGATTAGTGGTTTAACACCAAAAATACTAAATAACTGAGGCTTAGCATAATTGAAAAATCTTTGAATAAGTACCGTGTTTCCCCCAAAATTAGAGAGGGTCTTATGTTAATTTTTGCTCCAAAAATGCATTAGGGCTTATTTTCAGGGGATGTATTCTTTTACAGTCATGTCATCTTCTGGTTGCTGCACAGTGCTGCACATTGGCTTATTTTTGGGATAGGGCTTATATTACGAGTATCTTGAAAAATCATACTAGTGCTTATTTTCAGGTCAGGTCTTATTTTCAGGGAAACGGTAATTTCTGATGACTTGCAGTGCTGAGTTGTTTAGCTTTGGCTTTTCCCCAACTTTTGCTTCTGTTCAACAGACTCATGCATAGATTCTTCAAATTTTGCATTAAAAGATCTTTGTTAGGTTCATAATCCTAACAATGTAAACCTAAAAATTAGGGGGAAATGTTTGAATGAAAGGAATAAATTGCTCTGCCAAATGTTTGTCCATGGCAGAAAAATGTACAGCTGTTGTATACATTTCAAACTGTGGCTGAAATTCTGTTGGTGTAAAGTTGCACTGAGTAGATGCTGTCTGGGGGGGCGGGGTATAAATCGAATAAATAAATAAAATAAATAAATAAGTCAGGTGGTGTCACCATCCACCAATGGATATCTTTAATTTAATTAAATTTAAAACTTCCTTATCTCTTTTCCTTGCAATATCTTTGGGAACCCCGGGTTGCAAGGGGAGCCTATAATACTGGGAAAGCACTACTAGCTCACTGTAAGCAATCTGGAGATGATTTTTCCCCCCAGTATTAAAGGCTACTCCCTGCTGTGCCAGGGCTTCCAAAAGTTTCCCGAGGGCAAAAGGGATCTTAAGGGGGGCTTGGAAGTTGAAAGTGGGAGGGAGTAGAATGTTTTTAATTTAATTAAAGATATCAGTTGCCAGATGATGAAATATTCTGGCTTTTGGGGCCTAAATTTGTGCCAAAAGGATTTCAGCCATAAGTGTTTGAATAAAACCACTCATCTGAATCCTCGAACCTGGAAACAAATATGAAACAGAACTGGAATGACTAATTTGTTCCATCATAAAACTCTTAGCATAAATATTGCAATCTCTGTTCTGAAGGGGGAAGAGAGTTCAAAAATGTCTTGCTAATGGATTTGGGTATTCTTGCAGAATGCTTCTAAAAATGAGTGTAAACAAACTTGGAGACTTGGTGCAAGAGGCTGAGCAGTCATTACTCATAAATAGACCTTTTGAGACAAGCTTAGAGTGCCATGCTATATTATGGATTCAGGGCGGTACATTCTGTACTATGGAATGCCTACTGCATGGTCCTATTTACATATGTTTTGCCCTCTTAGTTGCTGTTTCTTTAGTCCAGCAAAAATAATCTGTGATTGTGGAAAATATTCGCATAGGCCGCAACTAAAGATGAAACTTTGAAACTCACAGGGTGCAGCTAGCCTTGCCTCCCTCAAAGCTTCTGAGTCTAAAGTTCTATATCATAACCCAGCAGCAGCAGCAGCAGCAACGAAAGCTAAGCAAATAAAAAAGAAAACAGAGGTTATTCAAAGTGTCTTGTACTTAAGAGTACAGGGCATAGTGCAGTCAGGTCTTCGTGTCATATGGAGCAAAGCAGCCATAGTGGAGGGCAAGAATGGTTGTGCCATCTGTGTCAAGGCATAACAGGATGAACATTAGGATATGACACATCATCTGATGAACATAAATGACACTGTTGGCACATGTTTGAATAGTGTGTTTGAAGAGACTATTCTTTTAAGCAGGTACTTGAAAATATGAAATGAGAAGATAGTAAGCTGGGGCAATAATATAATGTGCAGAGCTTCTGATAGGATAATGGTCCAATGATTTATGTGGCTTTCATATTTTCTCTGAAATACACGTATAATTTTATAGAAGTGATACTGACTTTATGATAATTTTAGTATTAATGGATTAATATGGGCATAGTAATTAGATGGATGAAGCATGTATGCATGATAGTCCCTGGTGAAATATTTGAATAATATTTAATGTGTATGTTCATGACACTTACGCAATTCCAGGTTATAATAGCAGTTTGACCCACCCAGTACTTAGGTTTTTTTAGGGGCTAAGAAAAGTTGCAATGCGGTAGGGAAATTGTGGCTCTCCAAGGGTTGAATTCTAATTCATCAGCTTTAGCCAGTGCTTACTATTTCATGGTAAGAAATTCTGAGAGCTGTAAGTCCAGGGACATCTAGGCAGTCAAATGTTCTCTATTCTTGCTGTGCAATATTTATTTATGAAAATGAATATTGGCATTTAAAATTATGATTGCTGTAAAGGCTTGTTCCCATTGCAATGAACCTCAGAATGGAGGACCCAATGAGAAGAGCTGACTTAGAGAAATTAGCTCTGTAATTAAATGTGTGTGCTTGTAAAAATATATACTTGCAGATCATGTGCCAGGTGGAGGGACAGCAGAAGAATCTTGTACAAGCCATTGAATCCCTCCCAGGGTCTGGTCCCCTTTCAGCCTTGAATCAAGACTTGCTGCTTTTAAAAGCTACCTCTGCTGCCGCCCTCAGCTGCCTTGGAGAATGCCTGCATTTACTACAACAGAGTATAAGCCAAGTGAGCCCACACAGTAATAGGACACTGCCTTCAGGTGAGCAATGCTGACTTGACTCTTCTTAGGAGTTTCCAGTGATATCACCACCTTCTCTTTTCCTGAAGTCAAGACATAACCTTCATGAGACTTTTAACCAAAATGTAAATAATGGAGCAAAATCTGTGAAATATTTTCACAGTGGGCGACGAACTAATCTAGTAATGAATTTTGATTTTAAAACTGGAATTATTTTGTATGGTGTTCTACAGGTCTGATAATCAGACTTGCAGTGGAGGCAAAAAATTGCTCAACAAAGTCATAGCTTGCTAGTGCTCTGTGGAAGCATATAATTACATCAATATTCTTGGTACTGTTGTAATTACTTAAATAGGTATAATGAATATTATATGATAGGGTCATTTGGTTAAACTTAATCTGTTACCAGATGTAAGAGTGCACAAGAGGATCAACTGAGCTATCTTGTTTTATTTCTGCACTGTTATGGTGAACCTTTCCAGGTAAAGAATACAAGGAAGTGGTTTACCATTCCCTTCTTCTGGGGTTGTTGTAGGACTGTGCAGCTTGCCCATAACTATACAGGATGACTTTTCTCTTAGGAGGCACAGAGTGGAATCGAATTCCCAGCCCATACCTAAAACACTGAGCCAGCCAGCTAATTGAAACTACAGTCCCATGAAAAACAGAACAGGAACAGCCTTTTGCATACTGGATTTTTAGAAGACATACAGGGGCATTTCAAGGCTTGAAGATGTAACAATTTATTGTACAAAGTGAGCATCCTTTATTTGAGGCACACAATTCCAGAATTTCTTCAGAATTTCCACTGGGATCCATCTGGGCACCAAATGAAGCATTGCTAAAATAACACTGTGGTAGTTCTGATGAGGGTACCATAGGTTGGAGGGGACTTGACAGCACAGAACAACAACAGAGTTCTGATTTGAGTTACAAAGTATTTATCACAATGACAAGAAGAACTAGATTAAAAAAAGATAGATGAGGTGTAGTGTTCTCTGAAAGGAACAAATTCCCTGCAACCCATGATGTTCAATCTGGTCTGTAGTATGATTTGCCTCAAGGCAACTTAAATTTGCCACAGTGGCTTCAGTTAAATTACCTGTGACAAACTGTTCTGATAGAACTAGACTGTGAAACAACTTACTTGTAAAGGATATGGAAAATCTAAGAAATGCAGCTTCTGGAATTCTTTCTGTTTCATCATAATCATCCAGTGTGAACAAAAAGTGTTTGTAGAATTCTGTGCTGTCACACAGCCCTGCCCTCTGTTCTGATGCAGAGTGGAAGCTGCTTCAAGTTCTCTTTAAAAATACACTTAAAGTCAACTTGCCTATCTATGCCTATATTGTTTTACTTGAAGCAGGTCTTATGCTGCTGTGGCTGCTGCGGCTGTTGCTATGATTGCCACATGTCTGGGAAGCAGCATATGTCTGGCAAGTTCAGAGGTGCCTAGATGTTAAGAAGCCAGGAGGTTTTCCTACCTTGATATTTTGGAAAATGGTGTTAAGATAATATTTGGAGTAGAATGTTCTTTGTGTTTATGTCTGGGTAGCTAAATATCAGACCATAAAGCTGTGGATTGTTGAGTATCTGCGTAAACCTGGAAAATTATGGTTGGTTAAACTGTAGGTTGCCACCTATTTACTATATAAAAGACAGAAGTGGTGTTGCCAAAATAGAGAAAAATGAATGAAACAGTTTTCTGTTCTCTTAGTTATGTTTTAATAAAATTGTACAGCTGCCTTCCTGTCTAGTATTATAATGTTAGATGAATAAGGATAGTAAAAAGATTGCTTATCCAGGGCTGCTTGGTAGAAGGGCAATATGTCTGGGCCACCTGTCAGTCTCTGTGTATAGGATTAGCTTTTTCGGCATAGCTTACCAGAGCCCTGCACTGGAGTCTTTGCGTGGGGTGGCGCAATATCACATCTTCCCAAGGTCCTATAAACACCATGAATAGCCCTGCTCTCATACAGGGCTACAACCGGGTTTGAAATATGAATGGTTTATACCGTTTTCTTATGAAGACTATGTGCATTGTTGAATTTCCCCTCAAAACGAATAGCTCAAACGCACCTTTGTAGGTAATTGTAGTTTTTTCCCCCATTTCAGACAACATTCTAGGATGGCATGGGCCAAAGTCGCATTCCGCAGAGCCACTGAAAAATGGTGCCCTTAGTTCTTTGACAGCTGCTAGTGCCAATCTAACATGGCCAATAGTGCCAAGTACCACCCAAGATGAACAAACACAGTCAGCTTTAGAGGTGAGTGCGCTTTGCGTGTAGTAAAATCTTTCTCTCAGTATTTCTGTGTTCTTGGCCACCACACATGTGTTTGTAGATGACTTAAACTGATCAATTTTGATATGTCCTTCTTACTAAATAAGGACACTTCTGTTTGTGATACTTTTCCCTAGTTATTTTCATTTACATGGTTAAGTCTTTTAAATACAGATTAGTGAACCTAAACAAAGCATTGGATTAATCTCATAAAATATGAGAGGTTGTTCTTTTCTGAAAGATTCTGACATGTATGTATGTGCTTGTTTATTTATTTTAATCTATTTATAGTATTCATTTTCCAGTTGGTAGAATAAACTCACTAAAGAAGTTCAAAGATATGTACTCAGTAGGTATACTGAGTCCATATCCTTGGACTTCTTTAGTGACTCAGTAGGTATACTGAGTCATTCCAGCTCCTTTTCGGCATCTGTCTAACATTACCTCATCTAATATAGTTTTTCTGACTAACATTAAGATGTGTGCCAGCTACCGGATTGGTCCACTGCATCCTTGTGGCTACTGTTGCTACATTCACTGCCAACAGCTGTCCTAGGTTTCTGACAGGAATGGTTCCCACCCCTTCCTGCAGCCATAGTGACTGACCGTTTGCATGCAAAGGCATGTTCTCTGTGCTACCGTGATGTTTAATAATGGAAGTAGTAAATATATTTTGGGAGTGATCTCAGTAGGGCACAAAAGGAGTATCTGTAAACTTTAATGTTGGAGATTCGTTGTTGGTAATCTGAGCTGGAAGCTGATATACTTTGCTGAATCTGCTCAAATATCTCTCTGATATTTGTCTGTTCTGATTTATATAGCTTTATTGTACAGAACTGCCTTAATGGTTTCTTGTACTCACTAATGCAGTGTGTTGTAGTGCTTCATCTTCAGCCAGTAGCAGGGTTGAAACAGATGTAATGTCAGAGTTCTATAATTGGATTTCCTGACCTTTTTTCTTCCCATCGCACCCTTTAAAAAAAAGGTTTTTAAAAATGTTTGATGTGGGCCATTTTTGAGTTACTGAAAAAGTGGTAGAAGTATGTTCATTACCCAAACAACTTTAGAACAGCAGCTTTGAGGTCTAATTGGATTAAAGAATCAGTGCTGGGAGCTGAGAGGTTAACTCTTTTGCCATATGTTTTTTTGAATCTCCCAAGTGACTATAACTTTACCCATTGATGCAAACTGGAACTTGGCATGTTTTTTTTTTTAAATATACATATAGCTTCCTCAGTTCTTCAAAGTGGTTTACAGCAAATACTGAGTAATTGTGTTATTAGTTGTTAGTTCTTGTGTGAACCGAGGTGCATGTGTTTATTGGGGGGGAGGGGAAGCAAATATTTCCCTTATTGTTCATTGCACTGTGCATTGAAGCAAGTCCCAACAGGAAATACTGGATATGAACAGAAGGTCCTTTATCACCACTGAATTGTTTCCAAAAGGCCACCTTGAATTATGAATTGAGGATGAAATGCTGTGGCATATTTGAAGTGGCTCCTGGGGCAGCCAGTTTGGTGAGAGTCATTACATAAATTTTGTGTGTTGCTTGTGGAGGCTACATCTGCATTGAGATTATCTCTTAGCTTTCATTTTGACAAAAGAAAACCTTCAGATGTGATGAATGGCATTTTCATCCAGGAGCATCTAAGCTCCAAATATCTAACTGGGAAAGGAGTTGCTTTAATAACATAAAATCTTTCCTCATTGTAACAATATTAATGGCTTTTATGTTCATGAGCCTTCTGGCCTTCATTCGAAGTCAGCAGTTTTATGCCTTCTGCTTTGTAAAGTCTGCTTGTGCCGAGCACGTGAATATATTTTGTATAGTCGTCCTTCACCCACCTTTAATCTCTTTAGTTATGCAGTTTCCCCAGGACAGTGGTTCCTGGGTCCCCAGCTGTTCTTGGACTAAAACTCCCAGAAATCTTGGCCTAGTGTTGAAGACTTTTGGGAATTTTAGGCCCAAGAACATTTGGGGACCCAAGATTGGGAACAACTGTTCCAGAAAGTTTTTTCAAGGTGCAAGGCCTTGATTTTATTCTCCACTTTCAGTACCTTAAGTGTTTTTTGTGGTTTTGCCTTTCCACATTCAGTTGCTTAGCTTTTTGCTGCTTTTGAGTACCCAGCTTGCTGGGTGTGGGGAGCAATGTGTAGCCTGCATAATTAAATTGTAAACCGCCCAGAGAGTGCTTGAAGTGCTATGGGGCGGTATATAAGCAGCACGCTTTGCTTTGCTTTTTTAATGAGGCTTCCTTGTGCATGTAATACCTGCCCCCAAACTTCTTTCTGTCCTCATAGGCTGCACCAACAGGCTACTCAACAGTGTAGTATTGCAATAGATCTCCACCTAGTGGCCATACACTGTTCTGATATCATCATCATCATCATCATCATCATCATCATCATCATCATCGTCATCGTCATGTGCTGTGAAGTCAATTCCAACTTATGGCTATGCTTTCCAGAGTTTTTCTAGGTAGAGAATACTCAGGTCTACCATTCCCTTCTTCTGGAAGCATCCCTGTGCAACTTGCCCATGACCACACAGGTTGGCTCTACTCCCAGGAAGTACAGTGGGGAATCAAACTCCCAACCTCTGGCTCTGCAGCCAGATGCCTAAGCTACCGAGCTATCTAACCTCTGTTCTAATAAACACATTTCAAAACCATTTTATAAAAAACGCATGGCAAAGGTAATCAGAATCTTTCCCTCCTCATTTCTAAGAACTAAAATATGTTTATTTCAAAATTATATAGAGCTTCTAACCAATTCTTGGCTTACATTGAATATACAGTGGTGCCCCACATGACTATAATCTGTTCCAGGAAAATTGCTGTACAGCGAAATCGTCATCATGGAAAAAAAATATCCCCATCGGAATGCATTGAAAACTGGTTAATGCGTTCCAATGGGGAAATACCTCATCGTCCAGCAAAGATCACCCATAGAGAACAACCAATCAGCTGTCTTAAATTGCTGTCTTGTGAAGCTTCTGTCCGGAAAACACCCATTTTGTGAAGGGAAGCCAGCCATTTTGTGAAGGGAAGCCATTTTGCGGAGCCGGAAAAATCGTCGTTTTGCGAACAAACGGTTCATGAAGCAAGGACCTAATCATCGTAAAGTGGATTTCTCCCATAGGAACCATCATTTTGTGATCGCTATAGCAATTACAAAAAAGTTGTTGTACTGCGCTTTCGTCATACTTCGGGGTTGTCGTATTGTGGGGCACCACTGTATTCCAAAGAACAAGGGGAGTACAGACCTGTTTACTTCTTTTTAAAAAGTTGTATTGTTTTGCAATTAACATACTGGTCCCTCTTAACTGACATGTTATGTTTTGCAAAATTATATGGAACAGGATGAAATAGCCCTACTGACCTTATTCTTGCTTTGTCATATGTTAATGAAATGTTCTCTTAAGTATTTTTTTAAATAAACAGATATCTATGAACTAATGCTGTCTTAGGGAAGAAAAGGAGCATAACATTTTTTTAAAAGCAGTAATGTTCTGTGGAGATTTGGCAGTTTTAAGAAAGCAAGAGTTTCTCTTCTTTAAAAAATCTAAATGCATCATGGTTTAGTGCTCCTTGATTTTAGTAAATCTTAATTTTTCTAATTTGAAAACTGGGAGAAAATGATATAATGTTTGCAAATTGCTAAAATAATAATAATATTGCACATTTGATTTGCCCAATAGCTGTTAAAGTTGACATAAATACAACAGTCTTCCTGATGAGAGGTTTGTCTAGCCATATTATGTCTGCAAAACATCTCCTCTGAACCATACTTCTACCTTTACAGTACTTTTCTTTATTATTTTTGATATAATTTTCAAAAACATATATTGGATAAGGCCTGTAAAAAGCATCATTTGCTTTCAAAGTCCACTTCTTTTTGCCACTTTTTATATTTTAAAAATATTTTAATTGCACAGGGAATATAATTTATATTTTGTAACCATTTAAAATATCAAAGGGGAAAATATTCAAGAAATATATAAACTTTGCAAGTTGATGGTCAGATTTAGCCAAATGTCAAACTAGGTCCATGTATAATTTCAAGCACCAAACTAGCACATAGTCTTAATGCATGTTTTAAAAGATAATATCTTTTAAAGTTAATATTTCAATATCTGGCTAAATCTTTGAGCACTTGTCTGGAGTATTCAAAGCACTTCACATATATTTCTTTAGTATCTTTACTACCCTAAAAAACAGGCAATATCAAATTTTCCAAAGAGCCAGTTTACTTCTTTCATGGAGGCAGAAGCTAAAATCCATGTACAGAAGTATAATATCCCCTCTGTGTTCAGTGACAGTCTGCCCACATCAATCACATTGTTGTTCCATTCATCACCACCTCAGACTGATTTTGAAACTCAGGTTATATATAGATTTTCCCTTCCATGTGTCTATCTGCCTTTGTTGTGAAAAGAACAGATGTGCATTCTATTGATTTTGAGCATTGATTCGATCCCGGGTTTTGCCCTTCAAGTAGGAGCACTGCTTTTCCCCCTTAAAAGCATATTTAGAGTACTGTTTACACAATTAAATGCACACTTGCCCCCACTTTTTGGAAGAAGGAAGACCAGTTTTCAAATTATTGATTAAGAATTTTCTATCACACTTTTAGGCCTTGATAAAAGTCATTCAAGGCAAGTTTCAAACCATCTTTTAAACAGTGTAAAAAACAGAAAGATTTCAATTTAAACACAAACTAAAAACATATAAATTAAACAGGAGGTAATGCCAGCTGAACTGAAGAGCAGGGAAACAAAACAAGAGCTCCAAATGGTCATTGGGCCTGTTAGGACAAACAGGCCTTTATCCAAGAACTGAATGTGGTTGGGAGCAAGGCCTTGAGTTTTCTAGTCCTTGAGTATTCCAGTGCTAAATAATTTAAGCTTTAAAAGTGATAACTAGCACTCCTGATTTGGGTCTGGTAACAAGCCAGCAGTTGATGAAGATGTTAATACTTTGCAG